CTGTAGGAGCAACTGGAGAAGTGACGAGTTTTGTGAACAATGGATGCGGGAGGGGGAGTCCCTGGTGAGCAAGCCTGCTTACACCCTTCAGTCCACGGCAGACCCACAGCCTATTGTTCTTCAAGAGAAAAGCAAGTTTGCTAATCTTGCAGGCAGCCGGGTGGCTAGGCTATCCATGGAGAAGGAAAAGGTCAAAGAGAAAATAAGTAAGTATGACAAACACCTGACTGCTTCGATCTTAATAAAAATGTGGCCTCCATTACAATTCTAAACTTGTGGGCTTTTATTAATTTTATGAAGGTGGTTTCGTGGCTGGCAGCTGGGCCACGACAGCAGTGTCCTCAGGGCTCCACTCGGAATTCACACCCCTCTCCACAGCCACCTGTGTACAGTGGCCCTCAACCTCCCCCGCCGTGCTGGGGACCACGGCTACCGCCACCACACACAAGGATTCACCCACCACAGCTCTTGGACGCTGAGGCCACCAAGTCCTCAGACTCTCATGATATAGTCCACACTTCCTTCGTCTATCACCTGCCAAAGGATGCTTAGATTGTTTTCATAACTTGCCTGCGTGAATCATGAAGCCATGGACTTGAAGGTGCAGATATCTCTTTGAGGTACCGGTTGCATTTCCTTCAGATGTGCACCCAAGGGTGGGATTGCCAGATCGCATGGTTGCTCTATTCGTCGTCTTTTAAGGAACGGCCATACTGTGTTCCATTTTATATTTCCGTCAACACATCCTTGCCAACTTATTATCTCTTGCTTCCTGATAACAGTCATCCTCACAGGTGTTAACCGAAGTGAGTGAGTGAGGCAGGCGTCTCAGTTACTCAGGGTTTATTGAGCTAACTTGAGGGCATGCCAGGGAAAAGCCACCGGTCACAGACAGCAACTGTGGCTCTTTTGTGTTTGTTTGTTTTTTGGAGAGGAGTATTTTCATATTTTGCTTTAAAAGTGGGGGCTAGAGGGACAGACGGGAAGCTGAATGGTTATATACTTGTGAGACTTTAGTTAGCGCCCAGAATCTACATTTTACATAAGATAAGGTGAATGTTTGAAGAAAAAAAAAAGTAGAAGAAAAAATAGTTACACAAGAGTCTGGAGGCGGGGGGACGTTGAAGGAAAGATTGATTTCACTTTGCCTTTTCTGCATCTGGAAAGATAGGCTTGTAATCCACATTATCAGTGTGAACCAAACAGACTTTACTTTGAGGAGCAAGACTTAAATTGCCTATCTCGAATTACAGTTGAATGCCCTTGCTTTTGTTTTTGTTTTGAGGGTTTCTTTTTTTAGTAGGAGTCTTACTCTTGTCACCCAGGCTGGAGTGCAGTGGCACACTCACCACCACGGCAGTCTCGACCTACTGGGCTCAGGTAATCTTTCTGCCTCAGCCTCCCAAGCAGCTGGAACTACAGACGCATGCCACCATGCCCAGTTAGCCTTTGTGATTTATTGTAGAGACGGGGTCTCACAAGTTGCCCAGGCTGGTTGGTCTCGAACCCACGAACTCAAGCAATCCTCTCACCTCGGCCTCCCAAAGTGCTGGGATTACAGGCTGAGCCACCGCCCCCGAACGTCCTTGTTTTATGAGATGACATCTATTGTCAAGGTTTCAGAGCTAGTAAAAATTTACTTGTACGTCATTTTGGGGGGATAGTCAGCAGGAAATGCCCGACCCCACCTTCCGTGGGGCTCTAGCTAATGTATAATGTTTTGACCCAACGTTGTGAAGTAACAGTTATTCATCCAGGAGGAGGATGGCACATCGCATGACTGAGCCTCTAAGCTTAGCTTTCCTTTCGGCACGCAGCCAGAGGTTCAGGTGACAGACTGTCCAGGAGGGTCTCTGTCTGGAGACCATTCTTGAAGTCTGAGGGATTCTTCCCCCTTTCCTGTATGTGTATTCAGTCAGGTCCTTTATTTCATAACGGGAGTTTAAGCTATTCCTGTAGGAAAAGCTTTGTCTTAAGGATTATGAAGTTGACTCCTAAAATGGCTTTGTCTCCTGGAAATCCTTGGGCTAGGTTGGATTACATGGCTAAGTGACATGCAGTTGACCTTGGGAGACTCTTGTGTGGCACCTTACGGCCATCATTAAGCTTATGGCCACGATATGTGTCTTATGGTATATTACAGTTGCTTTTTTCATTTTGTCTGGTGTGCAGAAACTTTTCTAGTTTTATAGAGTGTTGCCTATTTGTTTCAGCTTTTCTTACCTGTACTTTTGATGTCATATCCACAAAAATCATCGCCAAGGCCAATGTCAAGGAAATATTATTCAACCATGAAAAAGAAGGAAATCTTGGCCAGGCACAGAGGTTCAAGTCTGTAACCCCAGCACTTTGGGAGGCCGAGGCGAGAGGATTACCTGAGCCCGCGGGTTCGAGACCAGCCTGGGCAACATGATGAGACGTCATCTCTACAATAAATCAAAAAATTAGCTGGATATGGTAGCGTGTGCCTGTAGTTCCAGCTACCTGGAAGGCTGAGGTAGAAGGATCGCTGGAGCCCGGTAGGTTGACGCTTAGGTGACCATGAGCATGCCACTGCATTCCAGCCTGGGTGACAGAGTGAGACTCCAATTCAAAAAGAAACAGAAGGAAATCCTGTTATTTGCAGAAACATGGATGAAGCTGGAGGACATTCTGCTAAGTAAAATACGCCAGTCACAGCAAGATAAATGTTGTATAACTACGTGTGGACTCTTCCAAAATTAAACTTGGCTGGACACAGTGGCTCATGCCTGTAATCCCAGCACAGAGGCAGAGGTGAGAAGACTGCCTGAGTCCAGGGGTTCAAGACCAGTCCAGGCAACTTAGTGAGATCTCATCTCTACAATAAATAAAAATTTTAAAAATAGCCAAGTGTGATGGTGCATGCCTATAGTTCCAACTATTTGGAAGGCTGAGGCGAGAGGATTGCCTGAGCCCAGCAGATCGAGGCTGCAGTGGCCATGAATATGCCATTGCACTCCAGCCTGGGCAACAGAGTGAGACTCTGATTTAAAAAAAAAAAATTAAACTTATAAAAATAGAGTAGAATGGTGGTTGCCAGGGACTGGGAGATGGAATAAATGGGACGATGTTGATCAAAGGTGACAAGCTTTCAGTTATAAGATAAACAAGTTCTGGGGGTGTACAGCATGAGGAGATAGAGTATTCATTACTTAAATTGGGATAATCATTACATACTATATACATAAGTCACATCATCCTGGTATACACCTTGAAAATATACAATTTTGCCGGGCTCGGTGGCTCAGCCTGTAATCCTGCGCCTTTGGGAGGCTGAGGTGAGTGGATTGTCTGAGCCCATGGGTTTGAGACCCACCTGGGCAGCGAGACCTCATCTCTATGATAAATCAAAAAATCAGCCGGGCATGGCAGCACACGCCTGAAATTCCGGCTACTTGGAAGGCTGAGGTGGAAGGATCGCCGGAGCCCAGCAGGTCAAGGTTGCAGTGGCCGGGAGCAGCCATGGCACTCTAGTCTGGGCGACAGAGTGAGACTCCAACTCAAAAAAAAGAAAAGAAAAGAAAAGAAAATAGACAATTTTGAATTGTCAATTAAATATTCCAAATTAAAAACAATTTTTAAAATGAAATATGAAACTGTCATATGATTCAGACTCCTCCTGAATATCTACTCAAGAGAAATGAAAATATATATTCTTAAAAAAACTTGCACATGAATATGCATAGCAACTTTATTTTCAAAAACCTGAAAAAAACTTGAAACAATCAAATGTTCCTCAAAAGAGGTGTGTATATTCATACCATGGTACTCAGCGGTTAAAAAAAAAAAAAAAAAAAAATTGAACAAACAATACGTGTTGTAGCATGACTAAATTTTAAATTTATGCTCAGTGAAAGTGGTGGCCTGGAGGCTTGAGAGTGGAGAAGGAGGATCAGAAAGGAAAAATTAAGAGAGTCATGAAGAAATGTTGGGGGAAACAGATATGTTCATTAGCTTGAATGTGATGATGGTTTCACAAAAGTATACACATGCCAAAATGTATCCAACTGTACACTTTAATATTTGCAGTTTATTGTATGTCTTTTATACCTCAGTAAAAATACTTTATAAAATAACAATTATTAAAAATGGCTTAGAGTAACTAAGCATGTACATAAGCATGTAAAAATACTATTTATGAGGAATTTATAATGACATCGATATATAGTATATGTCAAGTTATAAAAGCAGGGTATCTAATTACAAGAATATTAAGTTGGGCAACCCCCTAGGGTCCCCTCCCGCTGTGGGACCTTCTCTGTCCTCTCAATAAATCCTGCTTTAAAAAAAAGAATATTAGGTTTGCAACTATGTTGTTTAAAATATTAAACAACAAACTAAGTACAGGTGAAACTTTCTTTAAAAACACACAGGTTGGACCAAGCATGGTGGCTCAAGTTTTTACTCTCAGCACTTTGGGAGGCCGAGACAAGATGATAGCTTGAGACCAGTAGTTTCAGACCAGCCTGGTCAACATAGCAAGATCCTCTCTCTATTTACATTCAATTTTTTAAAATTTTAGGTAAAAACAGAAACACTCAGATCACCTCTGAGAGGTAAGGTTCAAGTATAGCTTTTCTTCCTTGTCTTTTTGGAATTTTCTAAATACTAAACTTTCTAAATATTAATTTTCTAAAACTAGCATTTTGAATTTCTGTCAGACTATAAAAACTGAACAAATTTAATTTATTTTGAAAAGAAAAAGCATCTAGTTCTCAGGCCTGCATGAGTACTTTTGGAAAACCCAGCTGGGGGAGCAGTGCCTTTGTCAGTGGGAAAAGCTGTCAAACAGGAAAGGGCTGTCTGTTTTGTCCACCACAGCTGCCTCAGAGCTGCTCAAGGTAACATACCTACTAAAGCAGGACATACCCCAGACCTGAGAGGCTTGTAGCAGGGCATGCCTAGCCTCCCCATCTCTCTGTTCTCTGAAGCCCAGCGTCAGACCCTGTCGCCAGCCTTCTCAACAGAAGCTCCTGGCCATGAAGCCTATCCTCATTGTGCTTGTCTTTCTCTTCCTTGGGGAACCAGCGCTGTCAGGTAAAATGGGGATCTTCCTGGTGGGGAAGGTGCTTCATCTAGAAGAACAATGACATTGACAACCCTGTGTAGATTTACTCCACCATGGGCCCCTTCATTCTCAATGTAGAAAAAGCATCAGCCACCTTGATGTCAGCAAAGTCTGAGCTTGAATCTTGGCTCTCAGTTTGATAGCTATACAGCTTTGGCCAAAGATCTGAGCCTTATTTCTTCACTGACAGAGTGGAAGAAGAGTTTTGCAAGAACTAAATGGGTAATGGATCGAACATCCCTACACACAATAGGAAAAGTACCTTGCTTGTAAGAGCTACCATTATATTTTCATTAGTAATTCCCCATCCTATTTTGCACTGTTCCTTTGTTACTAATTCAGGATCATATCTCGATATAATAGTCCAAACTAGCAAACAGTGATAACACAATTTGTTCCGTTTTCTCATACACTGAAATTGCTGATGGCTAGTTTGCTGTTTGTGGATCACTTAGTTCCATGAGGGAACATATTTAGAACGGCTTGTTTCAAGAGAATCGCTGAGCTTTCTGTGGGAGAAGAAGTGCTTGACCAGATGAGGGAGACATAAGGCAGAGTGTGACTGGCCTTGCACCTAGCTTCGAAATACATCCTTTTCTGACTTCAGAAATCTCATTTTGAATATTCTCTTCGCTCAATGTTACTCAACCAGTTCACATTCTTATGCTATATGGTCCCATCCAAATTTTCAGCCTCCCTAAACTATTCTTTCGGCAGATAAACCAGGTATTCAGATACGTGACTTGACAGGCTATATTTAAGAATCCAGAGCTCTTGAAGCTGTTGATGGGACCGATTCCACTATGGTTTATGGCCATGGATTCGTAACCGTCAGAAAGTCAGCAGCTCCATCCGTCTACAGTTGTCTTAGTCAGCTCAGGTTGCCATAACAAAATACTGCAGACTGAATGGCTTAGACAAAATTTATTTTCTCACCGTTCTGAAAGTTGGGAAGTCTAAGATCAAGATGCTGGCACATTCTACTTCTGGTGAAGGCTCTCCTCCAAACTTGTAGATGGCCATCTTTTTTCCTGTGCTCTCCACCAATAAAGTCATCAATCATATTGGATTAGTCTACCAACCTTGCTGATTAGGGGTCCATGCTTATGACTTTATTTAACCTAATTACCTCCTAAAAGTCTTATCTCCAGATATAGTCACATTTGGAGTTAGGGCTTCAGCATATGAATTTGGGGGTGAGACAATTCAGCCCCTTTCGCCAGTTAATTTCTTTTCAATTATAGAATCAATTATTAGGACCAAGTCTCCTTGGAATCTAGTTGGATAAAAATTAAGGGACCCGTCATTTGATGGTCCAAAAAAAGCCTGTAGTGAATTACCTTTCCATTCCTGTTCCTTCCAGGTTTCAGTCTATTCTCATCAGAAATACACAAGAAATGCCATAAAAATGGCATCTGCAGACTCCAGTGCTACGGGAGTGAAATGTTAGTTGCCTATTGTATGTTTCAGCTGGAGTGCTGCGTCAAGGGAAATCCTCCCTGACATGAGAAACTGGTGAATGCCAGTCAACCCGAAGACACTTAGCCCCCTCATCTTTCACAAAGCCAGGACATTTAGATTAAAGTGCGACCGTGTGACATATCCACAACTTTCAGCAATTTTTTATAAGCCACCAGGATCTTATGATCTTGAATTGGAAGAGCTGAGCTGTAGCCTTTTTTCAAAAAGCTAGACTTTTCACGAAAACAACTTGGAGGGTACTTTCCCCCTTCAAAGTAATATCCAATGCTCTCCTTGGCGCCTGCTTCGCCCCTTAATCGTAGAAAGGATATCTTGATAATTTAGAGAGGCTTCGATGGAAACTGTTGACACCCTCCTTCCCATCCCTTCAGCTCCCATTTCCCCATTCTGTGAACCTCCCGTCTGTACAGGAGCAAACTTGCTCAGGCCCTCAGGTGACCTTGCACGCCTCTCACGTAGACCCCATAGGCAGGACTCGACTGCAGGCTGACCAGACTCTTAACGGAGACCGACCCTGAAGTTCCCCTGGAAATGGAAGGATAGAAACCATCGAGGAGTGGCCTGTCACGGGGTGATGGCTCATCCACCTCCTTAAGTTTCAGTGAAGCAAGGGCACTTCCGCCTCGCCCCACAGAGTTCAACTGCAGGCCTATAACACTGCTGGGCTGTGACTGAGTGCTGACCTCTCAGCAGCCCGTGATGCCACCTCTGCTGTCCACCCTCCGATCCCGCTGGCTGGGCCTAGGAGCTACGTGCAGTAATCTTGTTTTGCTATATGTGTAACTAATAAACTGTGTAAACCCATTTGGACTCGTCTTCTTTACTAGCTGGTCTTACGAAGGTGTAGCAGGAAAACGTAGCAACTTCTGCCAGGGTGCTGATGGCTCTACCGGCTACTGCTGGTTGCCGATTTCCTGTCTGATTGCTCAGCGCCATCATCCCATCTGCAGACGCGTGAATGTGTGAGTTCTGTAACCGCCGCGCACGATGAAGAGTTGGGTGGCAGAGGAGGGTGGATTCTGATGGTGGGGCAACTTTTGTTAGCTTCGGTGGCGGCCGTGGCTTGGAGTCTTCATAATTCTGGGAGGGTGGGGCTCTAGCAGGCTATGTGCAGCTCGAGCCCCATCCTCCCAGGGCTGAGGATACAGTGGCTGAGGATACAGTTCCTGGGCTGAGGTGACAGCACATCCTGCCCAGCCACTCACAGCTACGGGGAAGAGGTGAAAAGAGGACAGTGGGTGGAAAAGCACCGGAAGTCATAAGGGGTTCTGGACCTCCCGACAATGTCTGACCTTTGAGCAAACCCAGTGTTGGTGTCTTTAGGGTGGAAGATATTAAAAATCCAATGAAGAGTGTCCTCTCAATGGACCAAACTCTCCTGTGTAGTCTGTATGGGAAGCAGGTTAAAATGGAGTGGGATCAGACAGAGCCTGGAGTTGTACCATGATTTCTACAAGGTATGCAGAGTAAACGATGGCCCCAGGAAAATAGACTCTGAGGGAGGCTGGAGGGTCCTCACCTGAAGAGTGACAAATTATCTGGAAATGTGACCTCATAACATCCCAGATCGCCTTAGGCTTGCTTCTCATTGTACCCTTCCCAGTTGAATGCAAGTTCTCTATAAGCATAAATGAAGAGAAATCTGGAAACAAGTCAACCTACTGGCAAGCTGAAGAACAAAGTGAGGTGACACTTTAGAGATGGACCAGACAGCCGAGCTCCAAAGCCAGGGAGAGTCTGAGTTCTCTCTGCTAAAAGATACTCTCTGGAATCTGGTTAACTCCTGCAGAGACAGAACATCTCACTCCTACCAGAAATTAAAATAAGGATTTCACCTCAGGGTCAGGCAATTAGAGGCATCCCCTGTGCCCCGGAGCCTGCTGAAATTATTCACACATACCAATCTTAAACCTGCCTCTCTGTTTCTTCCCATGGAAATTTGTCAGTCCTATGCTGCATCTGCCTTACTTTTGTTAAAGCCAAACCTTTGCATTCACACACCCTGTCAGGAAATGAACTCTATTACCACAATGGCAGCTGCAAACTCCTTTATTCTTTTGAGAGAAAACGTGTATGTTACATGAGTGCCCTCCAGCTCTGCTAGGCTTCTTTAAATATGGAACCTGAGCAGAAATGGGCTAAATTTGGTTGATCTCTGTACAATGACACTTCCAAAAAGAAACTCAATTCGAAGAGCCACAGCCTTTTTAAAAATAATGTAAGTATTTGCCAAACACCTCAGTAAGGAAACAAAATGAGAAAGGGTTTTGCTGCAATGTAGAGGAAACTTTCTTCAACATTCTTTCTGGATACTACTCCCCGAAATCTCACGCATCCAGTGGCAAAAATTGCGTTGTCTAAAAGTGATGTATAGAATTTGTCTGGGATGTCTAGAATTTGCAAAAGATTCTAAGAAGCCTTCAAAGGCAAGAAAAAACTCTTTCGGGAAACTCGTTTTCATTTAGAGCTTTTTTTAAAATATATTTTTCCCCCAGTTTTATTGAGGCATGATTGACAAAGAAAATTTATATATTTTAGTTGTACAATGTGATAATTTGATATACATATACTTTGTTTAGTACTTACTACAATCACATCTATCACCACCTATAGTTACTATTCGTGGGGGAGAGGATATTTGAAATTTATCCTCCTATTCAACTTCTTTTTTTTTTTTTTGAGTCGGAGTCTCACTCCGTCGCCCAGACTGGAGTGCAGTGGCCACCCCCGGCCACCGCAGCCTCAACCTGCTGGGCTCCGGGGATCCTTCTGCCTCAGCCTTCCGAGTAGCTGGAGCTACAGGCACGCGCTACCACACCCGGCTAATTTTTTGATTTATTGTAAAGATGA